ATTGTATGAAGAGCCAATCAAACATATTTGTAGATACAACAGGATTTTTCCCGTTTTCACACTTTTAACAAAAAGTACAAAGTTAACATATGTATTTTATACCTTGAGTTATTAATTTTATTAATAAATTTTAGCCGCTTCTTATAACATTTTAATAGCACAGATACAACGTGTATTTATTTCATACATGTTTCTTTACATACACGCGCAATATTTTCAATGCAGTTTGGTATTTTGACGTTTGGATTTTTAATTTATTAATTTCCATATTAAATATAGTACACCAAAACAGAATATATAGAAATAAATATTGAAACAAAATTTTTTAATTATTTTTATGTAATCATTGTCATTTCAAATCCTTTCAACATTGGATGTATTTAAATTTATTTGATAGAGACGTAAATTATATTTATTTTATAAAATTGAAGACTTAGCGCCTTCTCTTGTACGCAAATACATGTAAATTAATATTTTCTTGAAGTTAAAATATGTATTAATAATTATAATTATCTATATTTTATTAAGAGCTCGCTCGAATGTTTATGCCTTTCATTCACTCAAGGTTATGTTAGGTTTCGTAATAATTATACCTTCTTCTCCTGAAAGAGTTTTCGATTTGATGATGTTCGATACAATTACCATATAGATATTATATATATAATATGTATAATCGAGAACACGATCAAGATCAATTGAATTTCGAATTTCTTTTTAATCATAATTAGCAATAAACTTTATAATCGCATTCGTATAAAAAATTTAAATCTTTACAATCTTATAGAATTTTTATGTGCCATGGAATTTTAAATCGTGTAGGAAGTATTGAGCCTTATTCTGGTTATTCTGTCTTTATATACAAAATAAATACACTTTATAAACATTAGTATATATATATATATATACATATATTTGCATATAATCGCATTTAATTTCATTAAAAGTACGTAGAAAGACGCATAAAATATTTCATAAGATTTTCAATCTTGATTCGATATATAATTTAAAAGATCGATAAGAATTCATGAAATAAACACAATAATCATAAGTCTATTAAATTCCATTTCTTTTGATTTTATAAACTCCATTCTATTCTAAATTTCGAAAAACTATGAAGTAAAGTATTAGAAGAATATCTGTATTGATTGAACACATACACAGGAAATAACTTTATTAATTATGGCTTTGACTACATATTTAAAAAAATATGTTACTTATAAAAATTTCCAAATATTATTCTATAAATGTAATTTTTATCTGTACATAACAATCGTTTTATCATTTAGCGGAAGTTAATCCATATATTAGCACATATAGTATTTTAGAATTGAATAATTATTGAATATTAAATAGTTATTTATGTATAAATATATGTGTCTTGTTAAAATTTTCAAAGTAATAAATTTATAAGCGTATAGAAGGTATTAAAGTGTTTAACGATTTATCCCATTAACATCACGTCGATTCAAATAATAAACGAAGGTCGAGTAAATAATAATCACTTAATAGACGAAGAGTAAAATATTTTTTTTTGTTCCTTAAATATATGGGAATATAAGTCTGTGTACTCTCGTGAACATTTACTTGTGCACGCATGTAGAGTGAGGAAGAAGAGAACTTCTTCGCATGTAAATGTGTTTTTTGCTTGCGTGTATTCGTGCCGTTATCGCCTTCTTTCATCGCTCGCGACACGCGAAATCAACAAACGGTAAATCGAATTCCCTTTAACCCGTCTTATCCAATGGCTGTTGATCGAATATTCGATCGAATTTGATCCGTATTCGCTCGTTAATAAAGTGACAATTCGCTAATCTAAATTAAGACTTCACTCTGTCAATCTTTTTAAATTGTCCGGAGCCCCTTCGGCCAATGTTGTTTATACGTATTTATTTTAGAATATTGTCACAAATATGCGGTACCTAATATCATGGATCAGCACTTAATATTAATTGTTATTTGATATAAAATATTTTCGTATTGAAAAATCCTTGATTCTATATATTACATTTCATGTCAATTGTGCGCATCGCGAAATGCTCGATTCGTTTATCCTGCTCATTATTGGCGATGAATCAATAAAATTTTAAGTCTCATAATAAAGTCATAACGACAGAATAATAATAATTAATAATTGAATATTAATTTTATTTTTAAGCCGTTGATTTAATTGCAATTTTCTCTACTATTTATGTTTCTTTATTTCATGTATAAAATACATAAAGTTTCATTATAATATTGTAATTAATAATGATAAATTAAAAGAAATATAAATATAAAATTAAATATATTTATTTATAAGATATTTTAGGATTGTATAGAAGTATATTTCGATGAAAAATAAAATTATTTCCCCTAAAAATTTTTGTTGATTTGTTATTTTTTAAATACGTATTATTTAAGAATATAGGATTTTATAATTATTATAATAATGCATGTAAAATTATCGGGAAAATATTGCTCAAAGTTAAATTACTCGATAGAAAATCAACAAGATACTAAGGAGTCGATATTATTTTTATTTTACGTAACTTTATTTTAAATGATTTATCACAATTATTTTTTTTTTTTTTTTTTTTTTTTTTTTTTTTTTTTTGACAATTCAACTGTACAAGGTGTATTGTTAAATTTATAATGTGAATCAAGGAAAATTTTACAATCGATCGTGTATATTTCAATGTTCAATGCATACTTGGTTAAGCAAAACAAAGATGTGCAATTTTTCAGTATATAGTTTCGTTATATTTTTAAAAACATGTAATAAGTGATTAGTTAATGAAATGCACCGCCATACCAATCAAGGAATATATTTGAAAATATCGCTTGAACGTACGCACGCACGCACGCACGCATAAACTTACAAATACAAATATAGTATTTCCGTATAGTTAATAATATTTTTACAATATCGATTCGATAACGATTAAAAAAATTTTGCAATACAACAGGAATGAGTTGAATAAATAATGTATAATATCACTAATATTTTCAACGAAGTTTAATATAATTTTCTTATAAAGCCAAAAGTGCAGATATTGCAAGCAGCAATGATTAAATCGAAATTTAATGAGACTACCCAAGGGACCAGCTCACACGGTCCACTCGAACATTGCTTGGATCGTCGAAAAGATGATAGACGCTCCCAAAGCATATCGCGATTCTCCGTCTTTTGGGAATCCGGATGCTACCTCCATATATATTCGCAGTTCGTACATCCTTTGTATATTTCCTCTATTCGCTGAATTACGAGTTTAATTGTACATGTATAATTAATATGGAAACTACAAATAATGGCTATTAAAATTCATTTATATTATGAAACTTAATGTAACATGTTGAGAGAGAAAAAAACTTAGATCCATTTGTGCTAAATCAATTATATTTATAAAATAATATTTTAACAAATGATGTAAAGACATAAAGATTCGCTTCAGCCATTTTATCTAGTGAATTGTAAAATTCTTAAACTAAACGTCTTATAGTGTGTATTGAATTTACAATATGTTTTACTCAATATCTGAAAAATTTAATAGAAAATTCGACAGATCATTAGAAAAGCTAACATAATTATTCTCTTTTTCAGGCTGAGATGCAGTTGATAACACAGAGAAAAGACTGCCAGAATTCTACAACGAGCATTTAAATAATAATAATAATAATAATAATAATAATAATAATAATAATAATAATAATAATAATAATAATAACAACATTAGTAACAATAGTACTCTTAATAATAACAACAACAACAACAACAACAACAACAACAACAACAACAACAACAACAAAATGATAATACAAATTCCCTCGCGTTAGCGATAGCCCTGTGATAATTTACCCTTACGATATGCTGCTGCAAATGTTATATCATTGGCGAATAAATCGTAAAATCTCTAATTAGCAACGGTTGACAAAATGAGAAGTTACGTAGTAGGACCAGAAAAGAGATAAAATAAGAAAACATTCAAGAAAATGGCATCAGCTCAGACGACACAATGAGTAAAGCTTTATCTCGTTGACAAGGATGCATCTCATAATGGCCATTTGTATAGCAAGAGCACTTCGCAAGATCGAACAATAATAAAAGTATAAAAAGTCTCGTGTGTCAAATTATATCATACAATAATACATTTCACGCGAAAATATGTATAGAATAAATAATAATTCTCGATTACATATCGATTAGCCGAGAACAATATCGTACAATTACAGGACAATGATTTATATATATATATATATACTACAGATATAAATACGTAACTATTCTTATTTCCTCATGGAGAAATATAATTTCTTTAGAGCCAATATACATAGTTTTGGGAATTGCAGATGGAGTATGATAAAAGTGATGATAATGATAATTTTACAAAATATTATTATATCACTTCCTCGTTTATTCGATTGATAAACATCGGTGATGTTTTTACGTGTAGAATATAAGATAGTTTGTGCTTCCGTGACTCTAAGCCATTATATACAAGCCGAATAAATATTTGTGTATAATATTTCCAATATGCGCACGTGCGCCCATATTCACGCGCGCACACGCACCCCCCCCCCCCCCATCCCCGTAACACGCGCGCACACCCCGCCCCCCACCCCCGTAACACGCGCGCGCGCACACACACGCACACGCACGCGCACACACACACACACACACACAAAGCAGGATATAAAAACGATCTTGTATTTTGTAATTGCATTTTTGTAAAAGTAGCTAATTGTATAACGAAAGGAAAGAAAAAGTGCGTAAATTGTATAAAACATGACATCGATGTGATTGTTTACGCATTTGGTATTTTTTCTTCGAGAAACTTATATTTAATTAGATAGAACAAATTCTTAGATTAAAGACTGTGACCATCGTTATCAACGACAGTATTATTTTCACTATTGTTCTCACATTAAGTATTATGATCCTTATATATTCTATAAGTACCGAGTGTCCGTAATAATATTGTAATTCATGAAATATGTCTCTACTAGAGCGAATGGAATGTAATTATGCAATACACTTAAGTAACAAAGGAATCAATGTTCAAAACCTCATTCTCTTCTTAATTTCTCGCCTTAATAGCGGAAGTAACGAATTACACCAAATACAATAATTGCGATATAAAATAAAATAACTGCACATTTTCATTATGAAGTTGCTTTTTATTTATAAAGAAAATAAAGTTCTCTCATAAAATTCTTTCGAATCAATTCTATATAAAACTACAAAAAGATTAAGATTTACAATTTCTTCATATATCTAAATCTAAAACTGTAATTTAATTTTAATGCTTATATATTTATAATTTATGCATATACCATGTGTAATATGAACAACAAACATATATTATAAATAACGTTGTTATATAAATTGCTTAACTATATGATTTATGGAATGCAACTATTTTACTGTACTTAACAAATTGCATACATTATTCGATAAGCTTATTAAAAATTATTTATCCGTCTTTTTAATAACACTTTACCGAAAAATTAAACTCGAAATTAAAAACATTAATATTAAAATAAAATCATTGTCAAACCGAAATTTTTAGTTTTACATTTTCTACTAATTACAAATTAACACAACTACTACTGATTCAAAGTACTAGTAAATACAAAAAATTTAATCCATTCTTTCATCATGATTCGGTTATTGTCTACTCTGACTTTATACCCCGACGATATAAATTTTTGCACGATCGATCGCCTTCATTTATCCAATATCTGCCACGATTTTTACGATGCAATTTTTAAAATTGCTTATAATTAATAATTCATTATATTTTTATATTAGTAATTGACATATATTCTATATATTTTTATATTGAAAATAATAAAATGCTATTATTATCTATAAGAACATTAATAATTTCGAATATTCTAGTTTTATAGATTTCTATTGCATTTGAATGCATAGTCAATGAAAAACGTATGAATAGACGATATAAATTAATAATTACATAAATAAGAAGAGCATTATTAATAAAATAATATTAATATAATTATAATAGATTATTAATAAAAATATAGAAAGGTAAAGTATATTGTTGCATTATACTCCATGTTATTTCACGAGTATATATATACGCATACATCTCCATCAAAATAAACACACAAATATACACACGTAAGTATATGTCGACAATATGAGATTATATTATGTTCAATGCTTGGATATGTATATATATATATATATACATATATATATATATATATATATATGTAGATGCATGTAACAAATTATATAAATAAAATATACATAATTATGTATAATATAACAAATAATTCCATAATAAAATATTTGATTTAAATTCTTTGTCAATATATCAATTTGTTTAGATAATGGATATTATAAAAGTATTTATATTTGCAGGATGTTGCTTGAAATTTTATTCATATAGATTTTATTTATAAACCAAATAAATATGCGAATGCATTTTTTATTTCATAGTTTTAATGATGTTTAATGATGTGAGTAGATGGAAAATCTAAATAAACGGATATTGAATGAAATAAAATTTTAAATTCAATGAAAAATTCTGCCAACTTATAATATTATGTTCCTGTATGGAAGAAACAGAAAAATTTTATGTAAGTTTGAAAAAAATTTATGTAGAACAAAATTGACATTCAAACAAACTCATTCCTTTTCACATAATAGCATCAAAAACATGATAAATGATAATAATAAACTGAAATGAAATATTTATGAAGGCAATCATATATCAAATACACGAAATTTTTAAATCTAGTTTTTCACGCGTGTTCGAGATTGAGAGAATTTCTCGTGTATTATATTTGGGAAAAATCCCAACGGCTTATATCACGGGAAATATTGAACGGACATAATCTCTAAGAAAGTTTTCCCACAGTCGTTGGAGGCTCGAAAAGGTCAGTACATCTGGAAAATACTCGTGAACAGTCACTTCTATCATTCTTCGCGCTACAGAAGTGGTCATTGTTTTTTAATGCAATAAACGACCCTTGTTTTGCGAGTCCGTTTACGCGAGAATATTTCGAGAGTTAAGATGTACGAAAACAATCGAGTTGAAAAAACATTTCCAAAAATTTATTTGTAACGAGAAATCCATCTCGTGTCCCCGATGCCCTCAATGTCACGAGACATACATTGTTGCCGCTTGCATATCCACACGTTGCCACTTGCGCAGGGCCAAGCAAAGACGCATTACCAAGAACACCCCCCTCCGCCCCCACCCGTCAGCTAAGCTAAGTCTCGTTGAGGGGTGAGTGAGACACGACACAATTGAAAAAACTGCCACTTTTTCGATATTCTCATTGTCAAAGTCTAATTCCTTCGCTGTCCGCGTGGGGTGAATATTCAAGTGAAAACTAGTGACCAAGTTTTTGTTAAGTAGTGACCACCCACCCACTGATAAAAGGAAGATACATCGACCCTCTCTTGTGCAGCAGTCGATAGGTGTCAACGTTAAATCTCCTTCGTTGGTGAGCGAATAATCGTCAACTACTCATCCCAGGATCGGATCAAGGTCACCGTATCACTGTGAGTGCACAAAGTCCAGTCCGTCCATGATTCAAGGATCATCTTGTGTAGTGAAACATCCGTCACAAGAAACGTTCCAAGAAATCGCATCTTCACATTAGACTCCAGAAGATTCCAAGACATCAATATGTAATTGTTTTATAAATTGTAAAATATCAAATGAAAACGTACTATATTTTCTACATCCCTTTCACTTAACTCCTTTCCGGCATTGGACCAGCGCGGCCGGCAAAAATAAGATATTGAAGCATTGGCAGTTCGAGCCAAGAAAATTACGTCATTTTCGAACAACGCGTAATAATACAAATTTCCATTTCAATATTAACGCTTTTATATACAACTTTTATAAAATACATTCTTTAAACTTTGATATTAAAACAATGTTGTATCTATAGTAAAAGTTATAATTAATAGTTGTATAAATATGTGGAAAAATTTCCTAATGGATAAACTTTATATTCGTTTTATAAGTATACAAGATATGTATTGTTTAAAAAAATGTTAATAAGTATTTTAGAAACTATCTGCAATTGATATAAATATTTTTGAATGATTATTGTTAGTAGTACAAAGTATAAGAAAACAGAGTTAAAGGAATAAAATGATGAATATCTTCTAAAGAAATTAATGAAATTATTTTTATTGTAAAATTAAATCTAGAATGCAATATTGATACTGAATTCAAATAAAATTATAAATTAAAAATAAATCTAATCAAAATTGATATTTACTCATTTTTGCGCTTAATACAAGGCAAAAAATGAAAATCAATTGAAAAATCCGTAGAATTTTGTTATTGTAGATAAAAGGTTGAATACGTTTTGTGTATGATATACTATACAATTATTTATAAGATTTTATAAATATTAGATGTAATAAATTTGTTTTAACAAATTTTTCAATTCATATGACAAATAAGTCATTTTCTAGAATTTAATAATATTTCAATTATTTTGATAAATTGTATTATTCTTAAATTATCGTGAATTTTCATGGAACATTATTAACTATAAAATGAAATAGTAATATATATATATATATATATATATATATATATATATATATTGATACAATTATAAATAATTTACCTAACGCTTACATGTACAAGTTTTATGAATCTCGGAAAATATTTGAGAT